GCACTCCAGCCTGGGCGACAGAGCAAGACTCCGTCTCAAAAAAAGAAAAAAAGAAAACAGAAATAAAATGATAACTTCAGACTTTAAACAAGTGAATGGAAATAAGGAAAATATTTTGGGCTTCAAAGTATAGTTGAGTTAGTGTTGCCTGGAGAATTGAAGTAATTTGCACATGAATCAGAAAATGAAGCTAGTGTCCTATTCAGGTAAAAATATGTTAAGCAATACAACATAGGAACAACAGGTGGTTCTTTGTCTCAAGTTAATATGATCTGATATAGGGTTTTCCCTGTTTAGCTTTTTATATTTGTTTCTTTTCATCTTTGTTTTCCCTAGCTTTCATGAGTTTTTTTGTTTCCATCTCCTGGTGGACCTTTTTGAAAGTACAGTTAATTTTCTTTTTCTTTTCTGATATTCTGTAGTAATTTAGAATTAAATAATGCATTTTGTACCCTGGTGACTCAGAGTTTTAAAATCTGGCATTATGTAGCAATATAATTCTGGGGCCTATACATGTAGATGGGAAAGGGTTACATCTTTAGTTCCATTAACCCGTAAATGAAAGATAACATTTATGACCGAACACAGTGCTCATGCCAGTAATCCCAGCATTCTGAAAGGCAGAGGTGGGCGGATCACTTGAGGCCAGGAGATCGAGACCAGCCTGGCCAACATGGAGAAACACAGTCCCTACTAAAAATACAAAAATTAGCCAGGCATGGTGGCAGGCACCTATCATCCCATGCCTATAATCCCAGCTACTCGGGAGTCTGAGGCAGGAGAATCACTTGAACCTGGGAGGTGGAGGAGGCAGTGAGCCAAGATCTCACCATTGCACTCCAGTCTGGGCAATAAGAGCAAAACTGCATCTAAAAAAAAAAAAGATAAAAAAAAAAAGATTAAGCCACTGCCCTCCAGACTAGGCAACAGAGTAAGACTCCATCTCAAAAAAATAAATACATAAAAATAATTTTTTTTTTTTTTTGAGACGGAGTCTTGCTCTGTCACCCAGGCTGGAGTGCAGTGGCCAGATCTCGGCTCACTGCAAGCTCCGCCTCCCGGGTTCACGCCATTCTCCTGCCTCAGCCTCCCGAGTAGCTGGGACTACAGGCGCCCGCCACCTCGCCCGGCTAGTTTTTTGTATTTTTTAGTAGAGACGAGGTTTCACCGTGTTAGCCAGGATGGTCTCGATCTCCTGACCTCGTGATCTACCCGTCTCGGCCTCCCAAAGTGCTGGGATTACAGGCTTGAGCCACCGCGCCCGGCCCATAAAAATAATTTTAAAAATAGCATTTATTTATGAATATAGAAAAGAAATAATAGTAATAGTTGTGTCTGAACATTATTACTCATATAAATCACAGATACTTTCAAAGCACATTTTAGTTATCATAGATACTTTGAAATGGTTATGTTCTGCACTAGTTACAACAATTTATTTTTTGAGACAGAGTCTCCCTGTCACCCAGGCTGGAGTGCTGTGGCACAATCTCGGCTCACTGAAACCTCTGCTTCCCACGTGTTCAACCGATTCTCATGCCTCAGCCTCCTGAGTAGCTGGGATTACAGATGAGTGCCACCATGCCTGGTTGAATTTTGTATTTTTAGTAGAGACGGGATTTCACCATGTTGTCCAGGCTGCTCACAAACTCCTAACCTCAGGTGATCTGCCTGCCTCAGCCTCCCAAAGTGCTGAGATTACAGGCGTGAGCCACCGCACCCAGCTACAGCTATTGTTTGCAGTCATATCTTTACATCTTATTTTAGGTATTAATAAATAAAATATTTAAAATTTTTTATATATGTTATATCGCAAATTAATTTAAAAAATTGATTTTGATAATTCTGTTTCTAAACAGTGGGTAACCTTTGAACTCTTATAAATTCTATCACTCTAAAAACAATATTCTGAGAAGGGGTTCATAGGTTTCACCAAACTGCTATAGTGACCTATGACACAAAAAGTTTATGAATCCCTGAATTAAGTTATGTATGTGTTCTTTAAGCACAGAGTATGGAAAGTGCATCTCAGATGTATTACCTTCCAGTAAATATGAAAAGATAGAGAATGCGTGCCTGATAAAGGGAAAAACATGAGGGCATATACATGAAAACCACAGACATTTATAAGAAACTCATGAAGTTTTTGTGCATACTTATGCATATAACAGTAACAAATAATTCCTGGTCTTGTGAAAAATCTAACAACACATAAGGAAGGAGTAAAATTCTTGTCTCATAGAATTTGAAAAAGTAGCAGTAAATAACCCTCAGTACAGCTCTTCTACGTGAAATTATTATAATTTTTATAAAATTTTATTTTTACATAAAGGTTGCAACATTGCAAGCTATACATTCTTGTTACTAAATACGTGACATTTTAGTCTTGTGGTTTATATATATGTGACATATATATGTAATTTTTTAAATGATGCTGAAGCCTTAGTAACAGATGAGAGAAAATTTTAACACTGTATTATGTTTGAACTATCATTACACCTCAAAACAAGTCTGAAATTGTTTTTAACTAAAACTCAGAAATGTCTATAGAAATATTTTATGCAATAACATTATTTATCTTTCATCATTTTCTGCTTCTGGAATATACAAAACAAATTTCATATTTGCTTTAAAGACAAAAAGAGGAATTCCTGTATGTATATTTAAAAAATGCTGCTGAAACATCTCAGAGGAAGTGTCCTTGGAATTTAATTCGAATGCATAAATTATCAACTATAAAAAATAAAAATATAAAAGACTAGAGAGTATACATTAGGAGGAATTCTCAACTTTCGAAGCCCATGGATGAGCTTCTGTGCAAATGCCTCTCGCTCCTTAACACTGCCAAACTTCTCAAAATAGTAGGAGGTGAAGATAAAGGAGAGAAAAGGAGAAAAGAAACAGTTCATTTTTAATTTCCTAGGGTCATCAATTATTCTACTAAATTCGTTTCTTGCTTTATACAGCATTGGATGAAACCTTTGCAATATAGCTCCAGGGATATTGACTAGGTTATGTGGGTTTTGCACCGCACATTCCAGAAGGCAACAATATGAATGGTTGCAGAATGCAGCATTCCTTTGTGACCCCTGACTCTCCTTCCCAATTTCATTTCTTGTCCCATTTCTTATTCTTATCACCTAGTAGTGAGTTCTCGTGCTACTTAGCCCTTTTAAGAATTTTATTTATTTATTTATTTATTTATTTATTTTTATTATTTTTTTTTTGAGACGGAGGCTTGCTCTGTCGCCAGACTGGAGTGCAGTGGCCCGATCTCAGCTCACTGCAACCTCCGCTTTCCAGGGTCAAGTGATTCTCCTGCCTCAGCCTCCCGAGTAGCTGGGACTGCAGGCACCCACTACCGCGCTCAGCTAATTTTTTGTATTTTAGTAGAGACGGGGTTGCACCATGTTGGCCAGGATGGTCTCCGTCTCCTGACCTGGTGATCCACCCGCCTCTGCCTCCCATTACAGGTGTGAGCCACCGCGCCCAGCCAAGAATGTGTCCTTAATGTTTACGCCTCTAAGCCATCTCCTACAAGATTTTCTCTTAGCAGAATAATCCACTTAACCTGTCAGAAAGGGCACTAGTTATGTGTGCCAAAATTTGTTTTAATTACTGAATTTGAAAATGTTTTCACTATTTCTTGAAAAGTATTGATAAAATATCCTGTTATTTATTTATTTACTTATTTACTCATTTATTTATTGAGACTGAGTCCTCACTCTGTTGCCTAGGCTGGAGTGCAGTGCTGCGATCTTGGCTCACTGCAACCTCTGCCTCCTGGGCTCGAGTGATTCTTGTGCCTCAGCCTGCCGAGTAGCTGGGATTACAGGCGCCCACCACCATGCCCAGCTAATCTTTTTGTATTTTTAGTAGAGATGGGGTTTCACCATATTAGGCAGGCTGGTCTCGAACTACTGGCTCCAAGTGATCCACCTGCCTTGGCCTCTCGAAGTTCTGGGATTACAACTGTGAACCACTGCACTTGGCCCAAAAGTTATTTAAATAGTAATTATTTTTCTCTTATTTGTTCCCATAAAGTTCTTATTAAACTATACATTAATTTGTTTTATTCTATTCTTCATATGTTTTTGACATATTGAGTCATTTTCTTGACCTTATTATGTTATTAATTTATTTACTCTTTTACCAGGTCTAATCTGCTGTTTATCTCATTGCTTAGTTTTTAAAGGAATTTACTATAAAATAGTTCAGACATATGACAAAATAGAATAGTATAACAAACTCCCATGTGCACATCATTCTAAGTCAATAATTATCAGTTTACTGCAAATCTTACTTCATCCATTCCACTCCCACTCCTGCATTACTTTTTTAAAAATCAGATAATACTTTCATATTTAAATATTTAACTGAGGTATCTCTCTCATTTTTAAGGTCTGTATCATTTCATATTTAAAAGTAAATAATAGTTATTTAACATTACCAAATAATTACTGTTCACATTCACAATTGTCTGTTATGTGTATTAATTTTTTAAAGGATCATTGTTTCAGTCAGGACACGTAAAACGTTTTAACTGGTTAATAAATCCCTCTACTTTAGAATCCCCTTCCCTTTCTATCTCTTTTTTAATCCCTTCAAACGCTGTAATTTATTTATGGAAGAAACTGGATTATTTGTCCTGCAGTTTCCCACAGTCTGGATTTTGCTATTTGCATCCCCGTAGTGTCTCTGAACTCACTTCTGTCTTTCACATTTCCTGAAAATTGGTACGTATAGAACTAGAGACAAGACTGCTTTTGGCAATACTATTTTATAGGTAGTGCTGGGTTCTATTATCGGAAGGCATATAATGACTTGCTGTTTTCTTCTTCTGATGCTAACAGCAGTTAATGATAATTGTCTAGACCCATCATTTCATTAGGATTTGCAAAATAGAAATTTTCTAATTCTGTCATTTTTTAGCCAAAATAATTTTATAAAGAGAAATTTCTACCTCATTTACTAATTCCACAATTTCTTGATTGTTTTAGATGCAAAAATTCTATAAAGAGAAAATTCCAGCTCCTCTACTATTACTGGTGAAGGTCATATAAGAAAGGTAGGTTTAATGTTCTCTTCATTTATATGTTTTCAAAAACAATGAATTGATAACTAGCATTTCCTAAAGATTTTTCAGTCATAGATTTAAACAGATTTAATGCATTCAACTGGGAAGAAAATGTCAGTGAATTTCATTGAAGTAGTAAAAATACAGTTTATCTAGTAGGAATATAAAGTTATTTTCTAATAAGATAATACTGCACTCCTACCAAATAAACAGGATTTTAGTAATATCTGAGGGATTTGTGATGGTGAGTTAGACTGTATTTGGCATAGAATTTGGAAATGTAACTTGAATGCAAATATGCTGCAAAATGTTGAATGTATACATAGAAATACTTGTTCTGTCGATGCCAAATGCCCATTGTAAATGAACCTTAAATATTACAATCCTCCTTTGCACAATATTTCTTTATAAAACTCATAATTTTGTTTCCCCAGGCAGAGTTGGGGAAGAAAATGTACGAGGTGAGCTTGAATATCTTGTCATACCTGATAGCAAGGAAACTTATTATTTCTAATTTCAGTTCAAAAGAACTCAAGAGCCAATTTGAGGACGTTCTGATTAGCTAAACTATGACAATCTGAGCATCAGTAAAATTATTAACTACAAACTATTTTGGGAAATCGTATTGCTGGTGATAATCTTGGTATTGCTATTCTGAGATGGTTGAGTTTGTATTGTGAAATAAAGCAAATATGTATTTATTTGATAATCAAATTCTGTCATTCTTGATGCAAATAAGAAAGGGGATTCACGGCGTGGAAAAAATGAAATAAAGTTATAAGTTGAACATGTTAAATAATATTATAACACCTGATATGGCATGATTTCAAAATGTCCAAAAAACATTCATATTAGTATAAATTTATGTTTCTGATTAATATCAGCGTGCACTCATGACTCAGTCTATGCTCTAAAATTCCTAAAAACAATCACTAATCCAAGAGAAATGGGCAACCCTAATGCCCAGATGGCCATCTGTCAACACCACTTTTCACTTAAAGGATCCAGTAAGCCTCCTCCGAAAAAGAGTTATTCCCCCAGGACAACAAACTGCCCTTAAGAGTCATTTCTTTGTTATCAGAGGTGTCAATATTTTTCTGTATTTTGCTTATAATTTTATTTTTTAAATAAAAAGTTTATAAAAAGTGGTTCTAAAATGAACAGCCTTATGCATGCTTTCTTCTGCTAAACACATTTTTACTAGTATATATTTGGGAGAGATATCTAGAAATAGAAGGAAGGCTGGGCCAAAAAGTAAGCACACATCCACTCTGCTGGATATTGCAACATTCCCCTCCACGTGGGTTCCATTTTGCACTCCAATCAGCACCACGTGGGAGTGCCTTTTTCTCATAGCCTCAGTAATTATTTTGGTTTTTCAAAAATCCATTTCTACCAATCTATCAGGTGAGGAATTGTATATCAGTAAAATCATAGCACACTTTTTTCTTATAACAAGAATGGTGTGCATCTCTTCACATGGCTAAAGGCAATTTACATTTTTTTCATGAATTGACTACTGTTTTTTACCCCAATTTTTCTATAGTTTGTTCTTTTTCTTCTTTATTTTTCAAGGTTCTTTATATATTAAATATAGTAACCCTTTGATTTAAGTTACAAACATTTTTTCCAGTTTATTCTTTGTGTTTTTACTTTGTTTTATGGTATCTTTTGTCATGAAAACTTTAAAAAATGTAATTAATTTTTTCCTTATTTTTTCTATTCAAATTTTACAACTGAATTTAGAATACCTTCTCTATTCCTTCTCTATGTAGAACTTCCAACAATGTCTTCTTCTAGTACCTATATAGGTTCATCTATTTCTTCAATCAAATCTCTGATGCATTTAGAATTTATCATAATGTATAGTTTGAGAATGAATTAATTTTATCTTTTTCCTCATATCCCAACGTCACTTATTCAAACTATATTCTTTTACTTACTAATTTCTGGTAGGGCTCTTTCTTTCTGTCTCTTTTGCAGAGTTTTTCTGGCTATGCTAGCTTTTATTCTTTTAAATGAACTTTATCATCAACACTGATGGCACTTTTTATTAGAATTGTGTTAAGTTTGTAATTTAACTTAAGTGGAGCTGACATGTTTCTGCTTTTGAGTTTTTTGACTTAAGAACACAGTACGTGCCTCAACCATTAAATAAGATGTTGGCTTTTGGGCTAAAATCCAAACACACACATACATATACATCATGTTTAAAAAGTGTTTCTCAGTTCTTATTCCATTGCACTTCCTTAGACATTAATAAATATTAGATTTTGTCAAATACCTCTTCTGTCATCTATTGATATAATCATATGATTTTTATCTATTGTTCTATTAATATGAAAGATTACATTATATAATTACTAATATTAACTCATATTTACTTTCCTGGAATACGCCCCCCTTGGTCAAAATGTATTATATTTTTAAAAGTGCTGTTGGATTCTATTTGCTAACATTTTATCTATGACTTTTGTGTAGATATTCATATATGAGGTACGTCTAATGCTTCCTGTTTTGTAAGTACTGCACACTAATCAGTTGCACTACTGAAGCTCCTAAAATTTTCTTATTTATTTATTTGAAATAAATTTTATCTTTTACAAAGTATTGTTAAACAATATTTTATTTTAGATTCAGGGTATACATGTGTAGGTTTGCCACATGGGTATATTGGATGATCCTGGGGTTTGAGCTTTTAGTGAACCCATCACCCAAATAGTGAACATAATACTCAGTAGGTAGTTTATCAACTCCTCCCTCTTCCCTTCCACCTTTTAGAGCCCCCAGGGTCTACTGTTTTCATCTTTATGCCTATGGATACCCACTGTTTAGCTTCCACTTAGAAGGGAGAACATCTAGTGTCTGATTTCCTGTTTCTGTATTAATTCAGTTAGAATAATGGCATCCAGCTGCATCCATGTAGCTGCAAAGAACATAATTTTATTCTTTTCTTTTTTACGACTGTATAGTATTCCATGGTGTCTACATACCACATTTTCTTTATCCAGTCCACCACTGTTGGACACTTAGGTGATTCCATGACTTTGATATTGTGAATAGTGCTGTGATAAACAATTTCCTTTTTTAATATATAAGGCAAACAGTATTTAGAGAGTTTAGTGAGAAATGTTCAGGGTGAACAAAAGGAATCTTGGGTCAATTTCCCAAGTGTCTGTCTACGGTACTTAGGTGGTCTTTTGTGCCACTTCTAATATGAAATGTACAGTATGAAGAACAGATATTGAAGAAAATGAACTAAGTTTGAAATGATGACTTTAAATTACTGACCTAAAGGGATATTTCACTACTCTAAATCTATTATAATAATTAGCATTCTATGAAGCACTTACATTTGATTATCTTATTTGAATTTTATGGAACCAAGTAATTGTTCTCACTTTGTGAATAAATAAGCTGAGGATCAGAGAGGATAAGTTACTTTACAAGTCACACGGAAAGAAACAGAAATTTGACAGAAACACATGTGTTCTGACTCCAAGTTCTGAGAGCTTCTCACTCAGATTCATTCACACAATTTGGAAAGGTTAGTATTAACGGTAAAAACCAAAGGGTATTCCAATTACCTCTAGTAAATGGAAAACTCAATTCACCAGAACATTTATACCACTGAGCATACATTTTGCGTCACCTCCCAAATGCAGTAATGTCTTATAATAACTGTTTTATATCTGCATAAGACAGAATCTTACTTAGGAAACATGATGACAAAAATACTAATGCACACTGTGGAAGTCATTTTGCTCCCTAAACAGTTATTTCGAAAACTGTATTATTAAACCTATAGATTAGCTAACATGCTGTCAAATCTGTTTCTATACAAAGTTTTCACTGTATTTTTCATGTGGAATTCTCTGTTTTAGAATCCAGAATAAAATAATTAGAAAATAAAAACTTTCCTTTTCTAAGAGTTCACTTACCTCTGTTTACCTTTGTGATCTACGGAGCCAGCTGAGAGTCTGTCAAGGGGAGACCCAAAACCAGAGAAACTCCTTTTCTTCTTTGTTTCAATCACATCATTTTCTAGGGACACCAATTCATCAAGAAGCAAGAGCTTTGCTGTCAGATCAGTGGCTGATTTCTCTTCCCTGACTGTGGGTGTTGACTGCACATCTATGACTCCAGAATCAAAGGCCTATAAGGCAAGGAAAGGTGATTCCATTAATTTAGACAAAGAGACTTCAAGTATGTACATATGCATTTGGCTTTTGCTACCATTAGCTGACATTCTCATCATGTAACATTTTATAATTTTTTTCAGACAAAGTTTTGCGCTTATTGCCAAGATTGGGGTGCAATGGCGTGATCTTGGCTCACTGCAACATCCACCTCCTGGGTTCAAGTGATTCTCCTGCTTCAGCTTCCCAGAGAGCTGGGAGTACAGGTGCCCACCACCATGCCTGGCCAATTTTTTGTATTTTTAGTAGAGATGGGGTTTCACCACGTTGGCCAGGCTGGTTTCAAACTCCTGACCTCAGGTGATCCACCGGCCTCAGCCTCCCAAAGTGCTGGGATTACAGGCATGGGCCACCGTGCCTGGACTTACAATTTCTTATGAAGTTATTTTCCATAGAGAGTGCTAGATCTTTGGGGACTGAAACACATAGAAGAGGGGTATAACCAAGGGAAAAAAACAAGACAAGAAAAGAAAAGAAAAACTCCTGGAATGCCTTTAACATCTAGTATATTTACCGATCATTTTTTCAGATTCTTTTCCAGCAACAACTTCATCCTTCCTTATCATTCTCATAGTGCTTTGCTATATACCTCTTTCATCATTGCACTTATTATTTTTTGCCTTGTGCCAGGTTGGTTACAATACATTTGTATTTGTTATTAGGGTGAATCTTGAATCAATGAGTTTGTCTAATTAGTCTTTCATTTGATTTATTTCATGCTTCATCTCATATTTTGCTCATAGTTAGTATTCAGCAAATTTCTGATGAATATTTATTAAATGAATTCCAAACCAAATCTCATGCTATTTTCTTTTTACCATTCATTCATTATTTACTAACTCAAGCCATTACTAATCCACTATGTACTAGGTTCTGCATTGGACATGAAGGATACAAAAATAAAAATTTAGTCTCTGTGTCTCAGCATCTCACCTTCTCTATCCCTGTGATTTATCAGCAAGTACTTGTGTCTGCAATGTGTCTGAGATATCCGAATAACTTTGTGTGCCATGTAAAATTTCTTGTTTGTTTCTTACACCTATTGCCACTTTGCACTTCATCCAAGTCACAAATCTGTAGCTGTTCAGTTTGTGAGGTCTGTCTTTTCCTCTCTGAGGCCCAATGACAGCATTTCTTAAATGCTCCTACTAACAACTTGAGTCATTCTGTAGTCCCACAAATACTGCCTTTTTTCTGAGATCGTGAGAATATTCCCATGTGGGAAAATTTTTAGCTCTGGGGAATCTCTTTCCACTTCTAGTGATTCTTCCATGTGCCAGACTATTGACCTTGGTTTTGATTTTTCTTCACTTTCTGTTTTTCTTCTAAGATTATTCCTTCTATTGTCTTTTGATATGGTTTGACTGTGTTCCCATCCAAAACATCATCTTGAATTGTAATCCTCATAATCTCCAAATGTGAAAAGAGAGTTCAGGGGGAGGTAATTGAATTATGGAGGCGGCTTCTCTCATGCAGTTCTGGTGATAGTGAGTGAGTTCTCATGAGAGCTGCTGGTTTTATGTGTTTGGCAGTTCCTCCTGCATTCATTCTTTCTGTTGCCTTGTGAAGAAGGTGCCCTGCTTCCCCTTCACTTTCCACCATGATTGTGTTACCTGAGGCTTCCCCGGCCATGCAGAACTGTAAGTCAATTAAACCTCTCTCCTTTATAAATAACATACTCTTGGGCAGTTCTTTACAGCAGTATGAAAATGGACTAACACAGAAAATCATTACCACACAGAGTGGGGTGCTGCTATAAAGATACCCAAAAATGTGGAAGCAACTTTGGAAATGGGAAATAGGCAGAGGTTGGAACAGTTTGGAGGGCTCAGAAGAAGACAGGAAGATGTGGGAAAGTTTGAAACTTCCTAGAGACTTGTT